TGGCTCATAGTACTCTCTTTGAAAATCTAAGGACAAAAACTAAGAACTACTTCCCACACCACCCCCCCAAAATCTTGCCCAGAAAGTACACATACTGTCTCTTATACACATCTAGATGTGTATAAGAGACAGGTCCTGCCTCAGCCTCCCGAGTAGCTGGGATTACACGCACCCAGCATCATGCCCAGCTAATTTATTTGTACTTTTATAGAGACAGGGTTTCACCATGTTGGCCAAGCTGGTCTCGAACTCCTGACCTCAGGTGATCCGCCCGCCTTGGCCTTCCAAAGTGCTGGGATTACAAGTGTGAGCCACCTCATGCTACCAAAGAAAATCTTTTTAACCCTAGGCCCAAATTCCTACACGGCAACAGTTGGCTGATGTCAACAATGTCTTCTGTAGTTCTTTGCACCCCCTACTACTCCTTACTGTCTTGTGCCTAGCAAACTTTTCTTTACTTAGCTTTTCTGTCTGGCTCCGCAGCCTATCTGAGTTTGCATAAGTCTAAACCACGAACACATACCTAACCCACTCCAGCTGCCAGACCCATGTTCTAATTAAGGTTATACCACCTCTAATTAAGTAGTTTTGTAAAAGTATGACTGTATTGTTAACAATGATAAAAACAACAGTTGGCTATCCTTGCTGTTACTGCTGTGCTAGCTGGGGCCAAGAAATTTGGGGATCGAATGACTGCCCCTAGTTTGATTGTTAGCCCACAGAACAGGGACATTCTACATCAAAACTTTACTATTGAGAATACAACATAATCTCTCCCACCTCTGAAATCTTCACACATTATCCAAAGACAGTTACAATTATTTAAATAATTTTCCTCTCTTCAAATTGTGGGAAAAGTTGATGGAATCATTTTTACTGCTACTAGTACTTCTAAATAAGTAAGATATTGCTCACTGAGAGTATTTTCCAGATGCATGCAGACACTTTCGCAGCACCAGATTATTATCACTCCCATTTTGCAGATACAAAAACAAAAGCACAAATAAGGGAATCATTTGCCCAATGTCACAAAGTTCAGAGAAGAGCACTATTCCTAGTTTCCTGCTTTGGTTCTGGAAGCTAAGCAAAAACAAACAAATACTAACTATAAAATGAAAACAGCTCTCCTTGCCCCAAACACTAGGTTATGAGGACGCAGGAAGACAGAAAGAGGTAGGAATTAAGAGTAGGTTAAATTATTACTTATTATGCTCGCCTTCAAAATAGTGTCAATAAATTCAAGAAGCAAGAGGCTGTGATTAATTCAGTTTACAATTCAGTAATATCTGCTAGGCTAAACACCATGATGCATGTGCGGTAAATGGAATGAACTCTTCCAAGCAGAAGACTCTTTTTCTACCCCAAGTGACAAGGATGACAGTTCTCAACCATGAGTGGGCAGCTGGAGAGACCAAGAAAAGGAAGTTCTGTGGAGGCTTGTTGCCACCACTTAGTTTTGAAAGGCTTCTGTGTAAGACAAGCGACTCTCAACAGAAGAGGAAACGAAAGGTTGGCCCCAGCCACCATGGTATTATTTCCTTCCTCAGAACTGTTTAAATTTTTGTCATGTCCTTTATAAACAGACCAACCACCATGGTATTATTTCCTTCCTTAAAACTGTTTAAATTTTTGCCTACGTCCTTTATAAACAGACACTTCTCCTAGTACTTAAGATTTTCTTAATCTAGAGCAAGCTTCTCTCTTTTCATGATCCAAACTGTGTTTCAGTCCAGGGTCAATTTACTCACACATTATGACATTACTTGTCTATTCATACAGGGTGAGGTGAAAATGGAGGGAGGGCTGGGCGTAATCATTTCCCACCCCTAGGCCCTAGGCATTGCCTCTTTTTATTTGCCATTCTGACATGCCATTTATCTGACATGCTATTCGTGGACTCTGTTCCAAACATTTCTGCTCTTTGACTTATTTTATCCTGGCCTATAATTGAGTTGGTTACAAAGCTTACTGAGAAATTTTTCACTTCATTTATAACTGTCTTTTTAGTCACTCTTAAAAAGGCTACTTTCCAAAGAGCAAATGATTATACCCTGAAATATACTACCAGACACACATTCCCTGCCTTCCTTATAGAAAACAGTTCATGTATTTCTCATATCTCAGTTTATTATACATTTTTAGATTCTATTCACTAAAAAACAGCCAAGTGTGCTATTTTAAATACTTCGACATATGTTCTTAGGCTGTTTTCACTACTATGTATCATGAATGATGCTCTGAGCATCATTATTTCTTAAGTCTTTCCTTTGAGGCCTATGGTTTAAAAACCAGCATAAAAAGATGAGGCAAAAACAAACAAACAAACAAACAACCCTCTAGAAGCAGCACATCCAGAGAGGGCCTAAAGAAATACACTCATTTGAAGACTTACCAGAAAAGAAATGTATGAGTGAAAAAAGGAGCACAAAAAGAGAGGAAGAAGTCATCAACTTTTCCCTTCTAAAAGAAACAGATGGGAAAACTAGCAGCGAGAGGTTCTACAGCAAGTGGCACGATATATCCAGGACCTAGGGGAGAGGTCACAGCCCCCCCAGACACTTACCGTGTTGCATTTTGTGCCACACACCACTTGCCTATGATTCAACCACTGAGATGCAAACACTTTATTAAGGGTCCCAAGGTGAAACTCTCTCTCCTTCAGGAGACTGGGAAGTTGCTGTGCTGCATAACCATGCAACACTCGAGAGTAGCTGGTTTCATTCTGTAGCCTGACTTCCCGGTTCTTCAAGTAGTATACTAAGGATCTCTTCACAGGAGGAAGTCTTTTCCTTTTGTGAAGCGTGTGATCCCAGCCAAACTGTGGAAACAACATTAGAAATCAGGGCTTTGGCTGCTCTTCTAACGAACGGATCCTGCTGTATTACAGAAGTCACCAACAACTCATAACTCATACTGCAGAATTTACAAACAACAGAAATACAAACACAAGAGAACAAGAATCTCAATCCAGAAAGTCGTTTAACTCTTCCAACATTAAAAAAAAGTTGCTCAGAGTCAAACTTACCTATGTGAATTACAAGGGCTAAAAGTCAAGGGAATCAATGAAGAATAGAACAGGCTAAAAGGTTTACTAGACCTTTCAGGAGTGAAAGATTGAAGGAAATGAGAGGTCGAGTGATTCCCATACCAACCTGGGCTGCATCTCTGCCCAGCCCCCTTCTCCCTCTCAGTCTGCACACCCACTGGAGCAGGTAAGATACAGTCCAAGGAGACAGACCTGAGCGCCAGGTCTTCCAGGGATGCATCATCAATGACCGTTCCTCTGTCATCATGCCCGCGCTCCAGGCAGTTGAAGAATTCGAAAAATCAACCACCAACGGGGTAGTAGGTCCCCGGGAAATCAGAGGCCATATCTATGTCCAAGAAGACCTTCCTTTCCAAAGGGGGCGGTATAGAGATGATACCTGGGAACTGTTGTTTCTTTTGGGGTCCAAACGCCAAAAAGCCCAGTTCAGGGTTGGGTATACATATAGGGAGACTCCTTCTTTCTTCGAGGAGGGACGCAATCATCCCAGCTTCCTAGGGTCCATTGAAGGTAGTGTTCACTCTACCAAAGTTGGTTTCCGATTCCCTTAACTTCGGTTTCCCCTTCCTCCAAAGCCAGGATTCTGGTTTCTTTTCAAGCCCTATCCACGGCTGCAGGCCTCCCGCGGATTATGTCCCATTGCTGAGTTCCCCTTTGGCTCCTCACCGCCCTGGCCTATCTGCCCTCCAGTTAACGAGGGTCCAGCCCTGACTCCACAAGCCCTGGCCCCATTCCTGTTTTGCCTCTGACTGCAGACCTTGGACCCCGATTCCTGTCGCAGGATCTGCGGACCCTAAACCCCTCTTGGTGCCTCGGCCTCACCACCTAGGTGCCGGCCTCTCAACCCTCACCTGCTGGCCCTGAGCGTCGCTCCCAGCTCCCGGCGAGGCGGGCGCTTTCCGCTTCCTGCTAACTGCTTTCCGGGCCATAGTGGGCAGCGCCGCCGCGGCCCCGCAGCCACATGGGGCAGGGGAAGAGAGGGATAGCAGGACGGCGGGTCATATACTGGGCCCCGGGGCCGCGCACCTTAGTGCGCCCGGCCCGGAAAATGGCCCGGACCCGGAGCGGCAGCAGAAAAAAGGCAGAAAGAAGGGAAAGAGAGAGGAACGACTGGGGCCAGGAGAGGGAAGGTGAAGCGAGAACTAGAAGCTTTCCGACGGCAGAGCCTGGAAGGACGGCGAGCGATTAGAACCAAAACACCCCCTCCCCCTTGCCCGCGCGCCGTCACCCTTGCGCAGCCGCACTTTGGACAGCGTCGCCACGGAAACGCCGCCGGAAGGAGAGGGGCGGGATTTAGGGATTGGAAGAGACTTAGCTGCTGTTTCCCGGCCGCCGTCGGACCATTTTCAAAGGTCATTTGGCAGCCGCTGGAATGGACGTGGACGAGCTGGGGCCGAGGGAATCGGGCTTCTGGCCGCCGACCTCCGACCCCAGCCCGCCTATCCGCAGGCACCCGGAAATGAGGACCACCAGCGCTGCTGGGGGAAGGAATCCCCCCCTAGTGCAGGCCTTTAGCCGGTAGCCGCTACCGGTTACCTCCCATCTGGCACGAAACGTTTCCCTGAATCTGCCACAAACCGTGCTCTGGCTCCAAGGGCTGGACAGGGGGGTGAGGGTTGGGACAGAAGCCGCCCCCGTCCGTCAAAGTGAAGTCCAGTCAGGAAGCCAAGGCAGTGTGGCCAGACTTTCCCACCGCTGAGAACCTGCCCAGCACAACCAACCCAGGCCGACCCACGGGTCTCCGGCTACCCTCTTCCCACCCCTGGGTAGCCCTCAGGCTCCATTCTCCGCTCTGTCTCCTCCTGATCCTTTCTCCTGTCCGAACTGCTTCAGCCCCTCATCACCTTCCCCTTACGGTGCGACTTCACCATCCCCTTTAGATTTCCATGACCCGCCATCTAAATCACATGGTCTTTTGTGCTTTATGAAGTAGGCATCACGCTGTAACTTATCTGTCGCTGCCTGCCTTACTCTTGGATTCAGGTTGCGTCTCCATTAGGGCAGGTTAGGAATTCTGAACCACAGGAAAGAGTGGTCATTTTTGGCTTGCCAGTCCAGTTAGAGCTGGCGTTGGCCACCAAACAAGGGGGCTTCATCAGGATCACCCTTGCCAACATTTTTGGAAGATCCTGAAGGAATATGACTGCCAGCCTTCATTTTCCTCAAGCAAACAAACCCTCCGAGGAAGTAGGATGCTCTTGCTTGGGGCCGATTGCCCTCAGGCTGTGGTGCCCAGTTACCTGCTGGTCCCTTCAGGTTTCAGGCCTCAGGCCTCATACCTCCAAGGAGCTCTGTTGGACCATCTGAAGTTCTGTCAACAAGGAGATTTGGATTTGTTTTCCAAGCTGAACCAAAGACCAGATTGAAGCAGGGTCTCCTGTCATCCCAAGTCGGCACTGCCACTAACCCCTAATGTCTTGGGAAAGGCAGCTCCATCTTATTTGGTCAGGCCTGTCCCTTTAGAGATATGCACATAGTGAGTGGGTCAGGAGTGGGTCAGCTTTCTTTTTTGAGTCTGTTCTAGTTCTGTCTTGCCCCGCAATGCTCTGGATGACCCAGGAGCCCTTGGGCAAGAGTCTGGAATCCTTTGAGAATCTCTCGGCTCAGATTGGGCTGGGCTGGGCTTGGATCCCAGTTTCCTCTGTTAGTGCCAAGAGGGGCACACTGGGAACTGCTGTAGGCTCTTACTCAAAGTTCCTTTACTTCATCTTCACATCCCAGGAACCATCCCCAAATGCACCTTATAGCAGAGCTCACCTTTTTTTTTTTTTTTTTTTTTGAGATGGAGTCTTGCTCTGTAGCCTAGGCTGGAGTGCATTGGTATGATCTCGGCTCACTGCAACCTCTGCCTCCTGAGTTCAAGTGATTCTCCTACCTCAGCCTCCTGAGTAGCTCAGATTACAGGCGCCCGCCACCCTTGCCCAGCTAACTTTTTTTTTTTTTGAGATGGGGAGCTGGCATGTTTTGATTGGTAAGTGAAGGCAATAAGTAAAACTATTTCTGAGAGTCACAGTAGGCTGTTTTAACAGGTATTAGATAAAACTGCTTTCAGATTACAGCAGGCAGTTTTAGCAGTGAGGCTCACTAAGAATGCCATTCTTGGAGTAAAGTTACGTGCCCTGAGTACTTTTTCCCCCAGTCACTCTACTACTTTATTATCATTATTATTTTATTATTTTACTTTTTAGACAGGGTCTTACTCTGTCGTCCTGGCTGGAGTCCAGTGGCACGATTTCAGCTCACTGCAACCTTCGCCTCCTGGGTTCAAGCGATCCTCCCGCCTCAGCTTCCCAAGTAGGTGGGACTACAGGCATGCGCCACCAGGCCTGGTTAATTTTTGTATTTTTAGTAGGGACAGGGTTTCACTATGTTGGCCAGGCTGGTCTCAAACTCCTGACCTCAGGTGATTGGCCCAACTTGGCCTCCCAAAGTGCTGGGATTACAGGCGTGAGCCAGCGCACCCGGCCTGCAGTTTTTTAAAAGCAATTGTGAATTAAATTTCCAAAATGGACTTTCATTCTGTGTTGTTTGCATAGAAATGGTGAGCTCTTGGCCAGGCACAGTGGCTCACGCCTGTAATCCTAGCACTTTGGGAGGCTGAGGTGGGCGGATCACCTGAGGTCAGGATTCTGAGACCAGCCTGGCCAACATGGCAAAACCCCATCTCTACTAAACATACAAAAATTAGTGGGCAACCATCCTGGCTAACATGGTGAAACCCCGCCTCTACTAAAAATACAAAAATTTAGCCGGGCATGGTGGCAGGCGCCTGTAGTCCCAGCTACTCGGGAAGCTGAGCCAGGAGAATGGCTTGAACCCAGGAGACTGAGGCTTCAGTAAGCCAAGATCGAGCCACTGCACTCCAGCCTGGGCAACAGAACGAGATCCCGTCTCAAAAAAAAAAAAAGAAAGAAAAAAAAAAAGAAAAAAGAAAGGAAAAAGAAATCAAACACGCTGCTGGGCATGGGGCTCACCCCTGTAATCCCAGCACTTTGGGAAGCTGAGGCAGGTAAATTGCTTGAACTCAGGAGTTTGAGACCAGCATGGGCAACATAGGAAAATCCTGTCTCTATAGAAACATACAAAAATTAGCTGGATTGGGTGGCATGCGCCTGTAGTCCCAGCTACTTCGGAGTTGGGAGGCGAAGGTGGGAGGATAACTTGAGCCCAGAGGGTGGAGGTTGCAGGTGGAAAGCCAATATCATGCCACTGCACTTCAGCCTGGGAGATCCAGACCCCATCTCCAAAAAAAATAAAACACAAAGCAGTAATTCCTTTTTTTATTTTTATTTTTTGAGGGACAAGTTCTCGCTTTTTTGCCCAGGCTGGAGTGCAGTGGCATGGCATGCGTGTGCCACCACACCCAGTTTATTTTTTTTTTTGTAGAGACAGAGTCTCGCCTTGTTTCCCAGGCTGGTTTTGAACTCCTGGGCTTAAGCGATCCTCCCGCCTTGGCCTCCCAAAGTACTGGGATTACAGGTATGAGACACTGAGCCCAACCAAAGCAGTAATTCCTAAATGTAATTAGTAAATGCCTAATTTCATGTTTATGAAGTATGAAAACAGGTACAACTGATCCATGGTAAGAGAAGTCAGTCATTACCCTTAAGCAGGATTACTAACTGGCGGGGGACCTCAGGGAGCCTTCTGAGGTTCTGGAAATTTCTTTTTTTTCTTTGTGAGACAGAGTCTCACTTTCCCGCCTAGGTTGGGGTGCAGCAGCACGATCTCAGCTCACTGCAACCTCTGCCTTCCGGGTTCAAGTGATTCCCTTGCCTCAGCCTCCCAAGTAGCTGGGACTACCGGCTTGCACCACCACACCTGGCTGATTTTTGTATTTTTGGTAGAGATGGGGTTTCACCATGTTGGCCAGGTTGGTCTCAAACTCCTGACCTCAGGTGATCCACCCACCTCAGCTTCCCAAAGTGCTGGGGTTACAGGCATCAGCCACCACACCTGGCCTGGACATTTCTTTTTTTTTTTTTTTTGTGAGACAGAGTCTCACTTCATCACCTAGGCTGGGTGCAATGGCGTGATCTCAGCTCTCTGCAACCTATGCTTCCCGGGTTCAAACGATTCTTCTGCCTGAGCCTCCTGAGTAGCTGGGATTACAGGCGCCCCCCACCAAGCCTGGCTGATTTTTTTGGTATTTTTAGTAGAGACGGGGTTTCTCCATGTTGGTCAGGATGGTCTCAAACTCCCGACCTCAGGTGATCCACCCCCCTCGGCCTCCCAAAGTGCTGGGATTACAGGCATGAACCACCGCGCCCAGCCCTAATTTTTGTATTTTTAGTAGAGACAGGGTTTCCCCATGTTTGCCAGGCTTGTCTTGAACTCCTGACCTCAAGTCATCCGCATGCCTCGGCCTCCCAAAGTGCTGATATTACAGGCGTGAGCCACAGTGTCTGGCCCTCAAACTATACTATTTTGTAGCCTCAAATAAAAACCCCAACAGTTCCAATCTTCTCTCACCCCACTCCTCCAATTCAATTCTTGTAACCATTTCATCACAGTGCAATGTGCTGCTAGAGGCTCATTAATGGACTCGCACCTGTTACCTTCTCTTGCCTTGGTCTTGGCAGGAATAATAAACAATAGGAAATACTATAAAGTGCTTTGGGCAGACTAAATTGTGTTATACTTGCTTAGTAACAGTATTTTCTTTTGTTTATTTGCATAGGTTTCCAGGAACAAACAAAGCAGATGTTAATACAATTCCCTGTTTGACTCTACCCTTCATGTGTTGGAGCTAATTAACCATCTTTGCTAGCAAAGGGGCAAGTAAGAGCTCAGGAGGAAAGTATTTCTGTTAGGAAAAAGGATTTTGGATTTTAATTCATATGAACATAATAAAAACATAGCAAGGAAAGAGACCCGGGGGACATAGGACACAAATGAACACAGATGGAAAGCGCGCAAAAACGGCTCTCTGATGACATAGAGATGTTGGAGGTCTCTGAGGCATGGAATCGTAATTACTTCATTCATTGTGGAAATATTTTTCAGATCCTGGGCATAGGTTATTAAAAGTGGAAGATATAGGCCAGGCGAGGTGGCTCACACCTGTAATCCCAGCACTTTGCGAGACTAAGGCGGATGGATCACTTGAGGTCAGGAGTTTGAGACCAGCCTGGCCAACATGGTGAAACCTCGCCTCTACTAAAAATACAAAAATTAGCTGGGCATGGTGGCGGATGCCTGTAATCCCAGCTACTCAGGAGGCTGAGGCAGGAGAATCTCTTGAACCTGGGAGGCGGAGGTTGCAGTGAGTTGAGATCGCACCAATACACTCCAGTCTGGGCAACAGAAAAAAAAAAAAAAAAAAAAAGGGAGATATGGAGAGACAGCTCATGTCTTAAACTCATAGTTTTAAAGAAAACTAAGGCCAAAAATGACAAGTCATGCAACCAGACGAGAGATAAGCCAGAGCTGGAACCCATGAACTCTGGTCTACATAATTTTTTCTTTTCTCCCTTCCTTCCTTCCTTCCTTCCTTCCTTCCTTCTTTCCTTACACAAATCCCACATTTCTTTTCTTTTCTCCCTTCCTTCCTTCCTTCCTTCCTTCCTTCCTTCCTTCCTTCCTTCCTTCCTTCCTTCCTTCCTTCCTTCCTTTTTTTTTCTTTTTGGCTTTGAGACCTGCTTGATTTATTCCAATTATTTAATACACAATGATGCAACTGTGATCCCAAAGTATGCAAAGTTAAAGCCTTCAACTGCAGCTGAGGAGAGGGCAGGAATGGTTCACTGGGGACGGTGATAAGTCAGGAATGACAGGCAGGTGGCCATGACCAGGGCAGCCCCCTCCCCAGGGCCAGGGACAGGGGAGTGGCCTGAGGAGCAGGACCCAAGGGTAGCCCAGGGCCAGGGAAGGGGGCAGAGACCTCCCCTTGGCCTAGGTCAGGAGCTCAGAAGTGCCACATGGCTGAGGGGGCAGCGGCTCAGGAAGGGCCAGAGGCAGGGCCAGGAGAGCACCATTTTCTGAGGGGCTGGGGGCAGGGAGGTGCCCTACAGGAGAAGCCAGGAGGGGCTGCCTGCCCCTGGAATGAGGGCTGGGCTGGAGCAGGCTGCAGCAAGAAAGACCTGAGGCAGGCACAGGGCCTGAGAACCCAGCTGGCTGGGCTTGGGGGGCTCCCAGGGCAGCCTGGCCCAGGGAGCAGTCCTGACTCTGCAGGGGATGCCCAGCGAGGGCCTGCAGACCCCTCAGGGCCTCCCCTGCTCTCTCCCTGGAAAGGAGCTGGGGAACCCATAGTGCAAATCTGCAGACCACTCAGTTATGGAGGGAGGCTGTGCCTGAAGGGGGACACTGGGGTGCGCCCCCTCCACCACCTTGGCCTCCACTGTTGTCCTCAGTACAGCTGCTTCTCCTAAAAGTGCAGACCATGGACGCCACCCTTGATCTGGGCTGACATGATCCGCTTCTCAAACTTGAGCTCTCCTGAGTACATCATGGACGGAGGGACAGACAGGCTGTGGGCTCCGACATCCTGGCAGCCATGCTGGATGCCCACTATGAGGTAGGGCATGAACTTCTGAATGGACCCTTTGTCCTGGATGGAGCCCTAGACACCCTACGTGATCTTCACCTTATCCTCCTCGCTGAAGTATCGTTTCTGGCTGCTGCTGCTCTTCTCCATGGCATCCAGTGAGCCCATGCCCTGGTACTTCTTGAGCCACACCCCTTCTGAGAAGAAGTACTCACCAGGGGCCTCCATGGTGGCGGCCAGCAGGGAGCCCATCATCACTGTCGAGGCTCCAAGGGCTGGGGCCTTGACCATGTGCCTCACGGTCTGGATGCCTCCATAGGCTACGATGGGCACACCAAAGTGCCAGGCATACTTGGTCACCTTGTACACAGCAGTGCCCTGGGGCCGACCACAAGCCATCACTTCCTGGGTGATGCAGATGGAGCCACAGCCCATGCCCACGCACAGCCGGTCCACACAATCATCAATCAGGTTCTTGACCTGGGCTGCTGTCACCATGTTTCCCCCAATCACCTGGAGGTGGGGGTACTTCTGTTTGATGTCATGCACCATGGCGATCTGATACACCGAGTTCCCTTGGGATGAGTCCAAGACTATGACGTCGATGCCCGCCTGGGTGAGCAGGTCCAGGTGATATTTGTCATCCTCACAGGTGCCCACAGCTGCCCCGCACAGCAGCTGCTTGTGGGAATCCTTGGAGGCCAGAGGGTAGTCTTGGTTCTTCTTCAGGTCAGTGCCAGTGATAATGGCCACCAGCTCATCACGATCATTGACGAAAGACAGCTTCCCTTTCTTGCTACGCTGCAGGATCTCATTTGCCTCTTTCAACGTCTCACCTGCTGGAGCCACCACCAGCTCAATCCTTGGCATCATCACCTCACTAAGGAGGGTGGTATGGTCCTTCTCAGCAAGCAAGTTGATATTTTGGGAGGTGACGATGCCCTCCAGCTTGCTGCCCATGGTGCCCGTCTCAGTGATGGGGATGCCAGAGAAGCCATGCCACATCTTGGCCTCCAGCACATCACCCACAGTGTGTGAGGGGCTCAGCGCCACGGGGTCCGTGATGAAGCCCTGTTCAAACTTCTTAACCTTACGCAGCTCCTTGACCTGGAACTCTGGGGTGCAGTTGTGGTGGATGAAACCAATATCTCCCATCAGAGCAATCGCGATGGCCATGTCAGCCTCTGTCACAGTGTCCATGGGGGAGGAGATCAGCGGTGTCTTCAGCGTGATCTTCCGGGTCAGGGCTGAGGTCAGGTCCACCTCATCAGCTATGAAGTCTATGAATCCTGGGAGAATCAGGAAGTCATGGTAGGTGAGACTGTGGGCGCTGGCGAAGAGCTGCTGCGCTGTGAGCCTATCCTCGAGCAGGTAGCCGGTGTGCGGCTGATCAGGTAGTCCACCATGCTGCCGCCAGACCATGCGACCCGACAGAAACACCCCCTGGGCCACCTGCCACTGCGGCTGCTGATGCCGCGCCCCTGCCATGCTGCCGCTGCGGCCTGGCGGGCAGGGGACGGGGTTTTTTTTTTTTTTTTTTGAGAGCAGGGTCTGTGGCCCAAGCTGGAGGGCAGTGGTATGATCTCGGCTCACTGCAACCTTTGCCTCTTGGGCTCAAGCCATCCTCCCACCTCAGCTTCATAAGTAGCTGGGACTACAGGTGCATGCCACCATGCCCGCCTAATTTTTGTATTTTTTGTAGAGATGGGGTTTCACCATGTTGCACAGGCTGGTCTTGAACTCCTGAGCTCAAGTGATCTATATGCCTTGGCCTCCCTAGGTGCTGGGATTACAGACATGAGTCACCATGCCAGGCCCATAATTTTCAACACTACTACTAGATTAAATATCTGGGTCCAGTTGAAGTTGCAAGTAGTATTTATTTTAGCATTTCCCTTGTACTCTCATGTTTTCTCTGTATTCAGAACCTGAAATGTTTTATCCAGAACATCTACTACTTTGACAGCAGATATTCTATTTCTATATGTTATGTATAATTTGGCATACATTGATAGAATTTGTGCTAAGTACAGTACAGACAATTTCTGTTTTATTTATTTATTTATTTAGAGACAGGGTCTCACTATGTTGTCCAGGCTGGACTCACAACTCAAGGGATCCTTCTGCCTCAGCCTCCACAGTAGTTGGCACTACAGGTGTGAGCCATCATTCTCAGTACAATTTCCAATCATTCATTAATTGATCACAGAGTTTGTAAAGTTTCGAGTCCTTGTTTTCTGTTGCTCCTGCCTGTTAAACAATCTTACTTTTATTTGTAACCTTAATAAGATAAGAAAATAAAGGAAGAGACAAAACTTTTCTACTTAATAAGATCAAGCAATTTATTTATTTATTTTTTTGAGATGGAGTCTCACTCTTGTCACCCAGGCTGGAGTGCAATGGTGTGATCTCGGCTCACTGCAACCCCCTACCTCTCAACTTCAAGCGATTTTCCTGCCTCAGCCTCCCGAGTAGCTGGGATTACAGGCGTCCGCCACCAAATCCAGCTAGTTTTTGTATTTTTGGTAGAAACGGGGTTTCACCATGTTGGCCAGGCTTGTCTCAAACTTCTGACCTCAAGTCATCCATCCGTCTTGACCTCCCAAAGTGCTGGGATTACAGGCGTGAGTCACTGCGCCTAGCCAAGAAATTTATTTTTAAAAAATCCGCCGGACAAGGTGGCTCATGCCTGTAAATCCAGCACTTTGGGAGACTGAGGCAGGTGATCACTTGAGGTCATGAGTTTGAGACCAGCCTGGCCAACATGATGAAACCCCGTCTCTACTAAAAATACAAAAACTAGCTGGGCATGGTGGCAGGCACCTGTAATCCCAGCTACTAGGGAGGCTGAGGCAGGAGAATCACTTGAACTCGGGAGGTAGAGGTTGCAGTGAGGCGAGATCGTGCCACTGCACTCCAGCCTGGGCAACAGAGCAAGACTCCATCTCAAAAAATAAATAAATAAAATAAAACAAAAATAAAAAATAAGAGACAAATAGCTAACTGGAAGAAAAACAATGTACCTCATCCTACTCACGCTATCTTCCTACCGCCTTCATCGATTTCTGAAATGACTAATGTGGGGTTATATATAAATATAAAAATTGTACACAAATATTACCTACCAATTTTGTTGAGGAGTCTTCCATCAGTCATATTTTTTGACTCAAATACAACACGATCTTGGCATAAAAACAAACACATAGGCCAGACGTTCTTTGCGGAGAGTCATCGGGGTTTCCTGCTTCAACAGTGCTTGGACGGAACCGGCGCTGGTCCTCCATCCCGGCCGGCCGCCCGTAGCCAGCCCTCAGTCACCTCTTCACCGCGCCCTCGGATCGC